GTCAGAATTCTGATAATGYGTTTTAAAGAAGGATGACTTTACAAGTGCTTTAAAGAATAATTACTACAGCTATATTATAGCAAAGTATTCTTTAGATATTTTGTGCAATAATTTCTCTGATCTCTATTCCTTAAATAATTTATATATATATATATATATATATATATGTATATAGGATAGCAAGAGCTGCACCTAATTGTAACTCAGAGCTGAAAACTACCAATTTCCAAAGTAATTGTTCCCTTAATACTTGGGCATTCTGGTCTACATATTGAGTGTTTATCCAGCTGACTAGATTACCAGATAAGCAAATACAACATAAAAAAGTTAGTGCTGATAAACTTTTGAATTCAAAATGAATACATGGATATAGAAGCAATTTGGAAAACTGGGCACTTACAATCACGGGGTTYTGCATTTTAAACCCCTTTCATCTGAGTCACTTTGGTTTAGAAGTTCATTATGTAACAAGCAATACTTTTTTAAATTCAAGGTTAATAATATATCCAGCTTTCAATATGATCACTTTTGGGGGGGTCATTTGAGACAGGTAACATTTGAGTTCCTCTTAGAAATATTATGGTCAATTTGTTTCATAAAATTGCAGCTGTGCAGAGTCTTACCTACCTGACCCCTTCTCTATTTCAATTTTGCCCAAATCCTTTTTTTCCCATAACAGAAGGTTGTTCTAAATTTTGATTGGGACAGAAAGGAAATGCTAATGAAAGTCAGGTTCCTGCATGGCAGTGATGTAATCACTGTCCAGCAGTCAGACTGTTTTACCTTTTGTGGCATAATGTGCTCATAATTTCAGAGTAGTCCCAATGTCATGGTGTGCTCAAATGTGCTGGTATTTAACTATGGTAAATATGCCTATTTGTATATTTACCAGGATTTTTATTGGGCTGCATTGCTCTGAAATCTGTGAAACTTGCCCTGTCTTTGGTAAAAACACATTATAAAGTCACAAGATTTTGTGATTAATTAACACATGAAATAGTACAATGTGATCCATATTCCTTTTTCCTGTAATAGCTAAAATGCTGTTAAAGCTTTACCTACATAGAAAACTAAGTGGGAAAYTTGTAGTGAACCTGTGTTTTAATGTGTTTTGTTCTACAGATATTAAAATGAAGGAGCAGTCTCTGGAGAATCTCATGAGGTGAGTCACCATTTTGAAAATATATAGAAACACACAGGGCAYTTGCAAAGGGCTTTTTGTACAAGGAACAAAGGTTCTTTGCCTGTAGGCTAATACTGAACTTACCTGCCTTCTCCTCTTGTGCTTCTCAATGGCCACTGTCTTTTGTTTCTTACAAGGAGTGAAATTGTTTTGTTCATTGCAATAGGGCCTGGCTTTATTTACAGTAACTGAATGGAGTTGCAGCAGAACATGATCTTTTTTGTAACTGTTCCTGTGAGAAGCACAAAGTCAGAATGGGGTAGGCTTTCCTCTTGGTGAATGAAGTGTTGTTTATCTACTGTTCTGTCACCTCCTGAAACAGATTAATGTCTGAAACAGTGTTCTAAATTTATTCTTCTATGCAATTGCTAGAAACAGTGCAAACTACAGAGTACATAACTCCCTGCCTAAAGAGTTAAATAACAAATATATAGAAAATACTCTCATGTTCGTTTAACTGTATTCAAAAAGCTTTTGCCACATCTTAGTCATCTCTGCAATCTGTATGTTCTGACAGTGGTGAGTATAAATGCCTCCTTTATACACATGCTGTAACTGGTCTAAATTAACATTTGCGAAGTCTCACAGTATCATTGAGGTTTGTTTATTCTGGAGTTTCAAAATAAAATCTCTTTGACTAAATCCAYAGTTGGCAAAGAAAGCAGCATTTCATTTAAGAATATATTTCTAGTCTGTAATCATCTGTCTAGGGGCATTTAACAGAAAAACAGTTGTTTGCYCTTGAATTTAAATCTAATGTATCTTTCAAGAGTAGCTGCAAAACCTGTATCTTCTAGCAGCTGAATTTGCTTTTAGGACTCAAATGATCTGCCAGCTGGAGCCCAGCTGTTTCACAGGTGTGGTGAGAGTACAACAGGTTTCTGTATTTCTTAAAAATTTCACTCTTGTTCAAAAGGCCCAGCCTGAGAGCCTGGGCTTGTTTAAGTTCAACCTGTAGGTTGAAAGGTCTCCTGAAACAAGCTGTAAGAATGCTGGTGATAACAAAATGGATTATATGTGAAATTTCTCTTTTCCTTCCCTGCAGAGGAAGAAAGATTTATGAGCCACCACGCTACATGAGTGTGAATCAAGCTGCAGAACAGCTTCTTGCCATTATTCAAAACAGGAGGCTCCAAGGAGAAAAACCAGGTATGARTGCAGTGCTTCTGTCTGCTCCCACCTCTCTCCAGTCACACCTACTGAGGAGCCTCTGAACTCCACTCCCTTCCTCTGACTCTTAGAATTCTCCTTCTCTGCAGTGGATTTGGACTGCCTTGAWTCTTGGTCACAAGATGGATTTGTCCAAATTGAACACCACAGAGTTCAGTGAGCACAAATGAAAGTGCACTGGTGGCTCCTGAAGGTTTAGTCAAAGCCTCAGTTCGGAAACCCTGGACTGTTTCTATCCATCTGTAACTGAGCTCTTTGATCCATCAGACTTGCAGGAGGCAGAAAGATTCTGAGCGTTTAAAATCAGCCGAGCGTCAAAAAAAATAATCTCGGCTCTATTTTACCGCAACTGGTCACACTCTGCTCTCCGTGAACACCAGCATCAATCTGGGTTAACCCAAAGTTGCAGAACTGTGATTTTCACCTTGAATTCTTAACACTACTCAAGAGCAAACTGTGAAACATTTATTGAGCCCAACAGTAAGATCATAGCAGCTAATAAAGATGACTCAGTTGAGTCACAAAAGTTTTTTCTAACAGAAATTCAYCTAGGTCTACTCCTCATTTAAAAAGTTTATTCCTTCAGTACTGTCAAAATGAAAATTTAAATTTTATTCTTCATATAGAATGAATCAGGAGCAGTTTCCTTAAAGTGAACACAATTCCTGAATGAATTCTCCCTTATCAGCATCCTTAAGCTTTATTTTCTTTGAAGAGCAAGCTTCTTTCTTGACCACTCCAATAATTTAGTAATTGAAGAAAGTAATTAATTTAATAATTTAAAAAAGTAGCATTCATATTTAAATTAAGCATTTTGAGTACTTTTTCCTTTATTATGGGACCATTAGTCAGTAAATTAAACATTTAATTTTCTTTCTTACAGAAATTACTGAAGACACAATTTGTGTTGGCCTTGCTCGTGTGGGTGCTCCAGATGAGAAGATTGTTTCAGGCACACTACAGCAGATGTCCACTGTGGAATTGGGTGCTCCACTACATTCCTTAATTGTTACAGGCAATATGCATCCTCTGGAATTGGAAATGCTTAAACTTTTCTCTGTAGTAGAYAGTTCCACTTTTGAAAATAATGCATGTCAAAGGACTACTTAAATAAAAATGAGGCATTTACTTTTTTATTCCATATTTAACTGCATACACCATAAAGTTATTCCTGTGACTATTTAAGACTTGYCTAACTGCAGTTAGACTCTGTTGCTTCAGAAGACAACACTGCATGGACCTGCTTTTACCCAAGGCTGCAAACTGCACCTGCTGGTATCAGCTTCCACCATGCAAACACCTCCAGAGACTTTTAAACCTTTGATTCAGTTCACTGACATCCACGTCAGTCTTAGGTTGCTGGCTAAGACAGGAAGAGTACCAGGTATCTGTATGGCATCACTTGCTKTAATGAATTAACCAGACCTGCTGCATACAATGTTATAAGGACATTAGATGTTAAATTTTGCTTTTCAACTTTCCAGAAACTTAGGAGTTCTTCTCACCAATAGAAGACATTAGTATGCAAAAGCTGGTGGGTGATCTTGGGAGAGTAAATAGACAGGTGAGAATGCTCTAAACCAAAGAAAACCAAGAACCTACCTGTTGGACAGCTGGTGAAAAAGAGGAAGAAGCTGCACAGAATTTCTTATTTCAGAAGACTACAATTTAAAATAGAACTGGGTTTCTTCATATGTTAATGCTAGCATTTATGAAGGGCTAGACTCAACTGCAGCAACCATAATTCACGTCAAGCCAGGCCTCAGCAAACAGACTACAAGAATTCTCTTTAAGATCAGATAGTGGTTGCTAGTTAAACTGCTCTTCACAGTATGATGAGAACAAAGCAGACCTGTATGCATATTTTTTTCAAACTGACGATTTATTGGAAAGAAATTTGATCCCATATCTTTTCAGCAATATAGGATATTTAACATTTCATATAGACTGTATTCAAGTACAAAAGATTACATTAAAAATTTCTTAATATTGCACTTGGGACAAGCCGTGGCTAAGCTACTAACATTAGCATTCCAGAAGAAAATCATACATAGTCTTCAGAATTTTAGTGAGCTGCCTTGTGTTACCATTAAGATTCCTTCAGAGCTACTGTGACACACTGCTGTTCAACTGAAGCTCACTGCTAAGAGTAATTCCTGCAATTTAAAGGTAAAGGCAAGCAATATGCCGTATGCCACCAGGATGATTTTGGCAATTGCTTCATTCACATTATTTCACACTTCAGCCAAAACACTGTAGCGATTCACTTAACTCTTGTACAAGATCCCAGCATACATGTGAGAGGCTCCAATGCACATGGGAAGTGAAATACCCAGCTCCTTTTACACATTACTTCCGCCAAATTACCACATAGGCAGGAACCTTTTGTGGCTCACTGAAACAGACAAGTAGATTGAGCAGTATTTGCACACAGCAAGACACAGTCTGCACATGCCAGGCACAGCACGGCTGGCATCTCTTCACATTATAGCAGTGTCTGGCCAAGGAAGTCCCTACAGGGATGGACATTGCAACAAAGCCTGAATGGGAATAAGTCCAAGAGGGAACCCCAGCAAGGGATTTTCACAGAAGTGTAAAGGAGGAATTAACTACTGAGTCAGTATTAGAGATCAGAGAGATTATTTAAAAAAAAAAATAATCCTGCTTAAAAGGGTGGGATAATCAAGAATCATAGCAAGTGGCAGTCTGATGGCTGCTGGAACAAACAGGATAGGGTGTAATTATKAATAAAAATTGTTAATAAGTTTAATGCTTTAAATGGTATTTAAAGACCTTGTTTCATGAAAAAGGATAAGGGTTTGCTTTTTATAGAAGCATGCAAGTGAGAATCTGCACTKTGCAACTGCAACGGAAATCTGCACTGTGAAAGAAAAGCCATGGACTTTACAATTCGTTTGCACAATGTGTGCAAAGGGTGGAAAACTGCAGTTCAGCAGTGGCTTCTCCCCTTTTGTATGTTGTTTACATTCTCAAAACAGGTTCACTTACAACACTTCAAAAGAAACCGCTAACTTTCCTTCACCTTTAAATGAAGCTTTACTTCTTAAAAAAAATTAAGTATGTTAAGTCACTAAGGTCCATTTTATTAGTAGTAGCAGCTTCAATTTTCGTGTAAAAATAGTGTCAGCAGCTTTTACTAATGATGCAACTAGACTTTTGCTTTAGTAAGCATTATTACATAAAAAGCAGTCATTTATTTACTTTTCGCCTTAGCTTAGCAAATCACACAAGTAACTCAGCTGTCTGTAGGGGCCTTCCTGATGTAAGGAGCCAATCTATTCAGAGCTGTAGACTTAYCAGATTAACTTATAAAGAACCAGTCCTTACTGTGCATGTTCATAAGAGGAGTTTTCTTCCACTGTTATTTAGCACAAAAGACACTRAGGCATTTTAATACAGACACTCTGTAACATTTGTTTTATCTTCTTATTTTGCTGTAGGTGTGGTAAAAATCATGCAGTTTGCAGGCTTGGTCTTTGGAACAATAGTTTTACTGGTTTCAGTCACAGGAAAAAAAAAAAAAAACAATCCACAAAGACCAGTAACCCCACAGTAAGCATCAGCTACATACTTGGCTACTGTGAGAAATCATRCTTTGAAAACTTGATTCAAAATCGAGTAGTGGATACCAGGAAGTGGAGTTTAGCACATGATCCACATTCATCCATCTCTGGATGTCAGTCATTCACACAAGTCTTTGTTTAAATCATGCCTTGCATCTGCAATAAAGTGTCAATAGTAAAGTGTTACATAAGCAGCCAAGTGTTAAGTAATTAGCAAAACACAATRGTGCCTTGGCTCTCAGGGTAAGGAAAGCTGCACTTTCAATTGCATGGTTTGTACTCTCCTAAAACCTGAGCAAGTATCCCCTTAGTAGGTGAAAAAAGAAATCAGATGTCCCTTGTCTACTAACATACTAGATGCGACTGCAGTTACTGAATGAACATGTCATACATTTCTTTTTTAGAATTTTATGATGSTTATCCTTTTTCAGAAAGCCTAAAAAGGCTTAAAGTCTATTTTATATCTGACTTTCCTACAGTATCCCCAATTATATTTGACAAACAAATGGTACACTTYATACTATAAAAGTTTAAAAATAATGAAGTGCTATCTTGCTGGGCTAGAAAATTCAAACTTGTACATATGCTTCTGCCAATCAGCTAAATTAATAACAAGCAAAAAAATTTACCAAAAGTTATTAAAATCCTTGTATAATTATAMCAAGTTTATAGGCTTTTACACTCCATTCCCATATTAAAAAATTTTGTGGATGTACATTTAAAAGAATACCATCACCACCACCAAACAAACTGCCACTCGGCCAGATTCTCACCTGGAAATAAATAGTAGCAGTTGTCTTTTCATCAAGAAACTACAACAGTGGCCAAGCTCGGCAACTTGGGCAGCACAACAGTATTTCAACAAGTCCTGGAACAGTCAGTCCTGAAACATGCTGGTTTAAAGATGACTTAAACCAAAGCCTGCTCTTGGATCATGAAACAATTGCAATGAATCTGTCTGGGGCTTGCCTTGAAAGTGGTATCAGTTGATCTTCTCTAGCCTCAAATAGCAATGCTAGTAACTATTAAAAAATGAGGAAGCCCTGCTGGCASCCAGCAAGGAGCAGTCTACATGCAACACACTCCAAAACAGTACCTGCACCCTATAATCACTACCAGATTTTAATCACCTTGTCTGTGAACATACGTGCACATGGTATCTTAAACTGCAGTGCTCAAATCTGCTCAACAGAATCTTGCACCCTACCCTGAGCTGTGTAACCTCCAGCTCCTTTCCATCAGGAACTCCAGGCCTGGCAGAGCATCTGCAAGGTGGGACAGGGAGAGAGCCTGACAGAGTGCCAGGCAGGAGGCCAGGAAAGAGAGATGTGAACATGCAGCCAGCTGGGAGGGCACTCTGCACCAGCATCCATGCCCAGGGAAAGCAAACAGGATTGGAAATCGGCAATGGAAGGATCTGGAGAGTGGAAGAGACTACAAAGATTAAAACCAGTATTACAGGTGGCTTTGTACTGCCGTTTTTTGGTTTTTGTYTTTTTTTTTTGCAGCCAGTTCCAAGCACAAGAAAACACCCCCAAGATTTGTACAAAATCAACATTCATGTTTCAATATCTCATCTGGAAAATTCAGGTACCACTTAAAAAATTTGGCAAGAATTGTGTTTTCACATTAAAAGAAATCAGGTGCTATATAGGAACAATGGAATGAATGAATGAAACTCTTCATATCTGTGATGAATTCAACAATATCAGTGGCAAACAAACCATTTCTGCAAATCAATCTTCAGTAATTTCATAGTGCCTAGCACTTACTACACAGGCATTGTCAGCTTCAGAGGGTCTTGATTTTAGTATTACCACTGAGAGGTACCAAAATGAACATAAAATCCATACCAATCAGTGGCATCCATGATTTCTCAGAAAATCTTGCTTTTTACTCCACCATGTTCTGTCTGTAAAATGTCCTCTTAAAAGGTCTTCCATTGCTAAGTAAACTATTACAGCAGAGTGGAACTATCATCTGTAATAGCAGGCATAGCAGACTGCTTTTGAAACACTTGGCTATCTGAGTAAAATTATTACAAATACTAGAAAAAACATGACAGACTAATGTTCCTGGGAAAAAACCCCAATCTAACAACCCTTACTGCRCTGAGGATTTTCTCCCACATGAAAACATACAAGGCTACAGTAAAATAGTCAAAGATGTAAGATTTGTCAACCTGGAAAAAGCATAAGCTTAATTAAACAGCATGAAACATGGTCCTTATTTCCATTTTGGGTATAACCACCAGAAATAACTTTTTTTCTGTATTTGGAAAGGCAAAATTTGAATTTGATCACTTTAATAAAAATTATTACAACCTATTATAATCAAGGAGACTTAAGCTTTCACAATTTCAGGATTTAGTTTTTTCCACCACATAATTTGGAAAATAAAAAACTTCAAGCATTACTTCCATCACCAGCATCTTCCTTCAGCTGCCCGTTGTTTAAGTGACTGAACATGAGCAGCATCATGTAATGTTTCATTACTCTCAACAGTATGAAGAGACTAAGAATTGGAGTTAAATCTAACATTTTGACTAAAATAATTTTCACAAGACATGTGCAACAAAATACCCAGCTTGTTTCACAAGCAAGTCTCTTCACAACAGCTTTSTCTTTTACATTTAGAACTTTCCTGTCTGGTAAGATGCAAATATAATGGAAGTCTAACATCTACAGTTATGCAAGTACACAACCCCCCCCACATACATCACTGGTAAATAATCAGACTGCATAAAAGATTATCTGTAAAAGTAATAAAACCCTTTGATGCTCCATATTTATGCTGGCAAATAGCTCTCCTGATAAAAAAGGCACTTTGAAAACCCAATATGGTTTGGTTCATTAAGTTTGCAAAGTACAAACAATTGTACAAACATGCAATTATATTGAAGCATGTCAGCTGTTGTGACATTGTCTACAAAACAAGTTTCCAATTGTCGATAACACTGGTTTTATGGGAATGAGCAGTGGTTTCAGCAGCTTTACTGAAGACATGACAGGGTTTCCAGTACCACAATCTTATTTAGTAAAAAACCCTCAAAAACTTACAAGTTTAGGGGCCCCAAAAAAAACAAGACCCAAAGTCCGTAACATTCATTCAATATTTACTCCTTAGAAGTGAAGTCCATCTAGTGTGAGGGCAGAAATCCATTCAGTCGATTCCAGATGTGGTGGAGGCAGGCTCTGTCTCACGAAGTCTTCTTACAGCAGTACAGTACTGAAAACTTTGGTCCAACAGCCCCATTCCAGAAATTCACTACATGGCTGCAACATCAATCTGTATGTAAAGCTGCCTTACTCCTGCCTATGGAAAAGGAGAAGAGGGTTACAAAGGCTGTCAAGCCAAAGCAGTTTCCAGTCTGAACATCAGCCCACATCAGCAAGTAACCTAGCAAAAAAACTCATTTTTCTGCAATTCATCTCCCACATTTAGCACATCACTCAGAGATCATCATATGAGTAAGGAGTTCTTCACAYAGTCAAGTGCACACACATAATGATGTATTAACATTAGCTTTGCCACATTACCTCTTCTGATTCAACTGCCTCACAGGAAGCTTCACAAAAGCAATTCTTACTTTCTTTTGTGCCAGTTTAACTTCCTGAAAAGCAAGCTGCTTGAAGAGCTGTCAGTTTAAAATGGAGCTAGGCACAAGAGTGTAATGTGGGACTTGCTCAAACCAGTTCTACATTATTTTAACCAGAAAGCCATCACATGTGCGAGCTGCCAACGCAGTGAAAATCCTGAGTAGGTCCAGTTTGTGTTGAGAAATCCTATCCTAAGAGAAGCCTCCTCTTTTTTTCTTAGTTCCTCATACGTCAATATAGATGCACCCAATTTGATACACCTGAGACAATTACGTCTGTTATTTCCATTAAGTGGCATCAAAAACTAATGCAGAGCAGTAAAGTAATTCCTTCTACACAACTGAGTATTTTGGAATTGTTCTATACAGTTGGAACACAGAAGCTTTTCAAAACAGGTATCAAGAAAAATTAAATGTTTTTGGCTTTGGTAAGAATTACGATGTCACATCACAGGCAATGACAGGCAATTTTACACTTTAGGATGTGAACTCCATTGATAAGACATACCTGAGTAAAAATATTGTGAGTCTGGCTTAGAATCCACCTTCCATCAGCATCAGGAGCTACTAATAACTTCAAAGTCCCTATGTAAACATCAGTACAGAGGGTCCAGAAATGTGGGTCATGCAAACTGTAAACTCCTTGCAACTGCTGCACCTAAAAATAGAGGCAAATTTTAGAAAGTGYATTTCAGAAAATATTTCTCTATATTACATTTATTTTACAGAAAATGTTATATAAGCCAATGCATTCTTCTAATTCRCTCGGCTATTTGTGATTTTTTACCAAAATTTCTTATTACTATCTCAGTTATTGTAAGGAAGATGAAAACATACAGATTTGTGTGCATGTCATGATTTTTTTCCCTGCTGCTTTTACATTCTGCATATATTTCACTGAAACCATTTCTGAAAACAGAGGTGTTCAAGAGAAAAGTCACAGTTATTGGATTTGAGATGGCATCCAATTAAATCTGCCGTTTTTACAAATGTGTGAATTTTGCCATGAAACAATTAGTGAGATTCTAACTTTAACAGAAAGATATTCATATATAATTTACAAATTTGTGAGGGTTTAAGATTTGCCAATCCCTTTCKTTTTCTTCTTTCCACCTTTAGCAAGCCCTCCATGTGATGATTATAACCTGTAACTCCCAAGGAAAGGCAGCACTCCTTCAAGTGCTTTGTATTTACTTTGCAAAGGCACTGCAATGATCAGATCATGGCACACTAATAGCAGAGTTAAACAGGAGAAGGTCAGCTCCAGAGTATCTTTGTATTCTTATAAATACATTCTTCTACTCTTATGTATAAATGCAAGGTACTTAGGGAGGAAAAGGTTCAGGATCTATTTTTCATAACTACACAGCAAATTTTTAAAACACAAACTGAGGTGAAACTACMATTTAGGACTTTGGGAAAATATTAACTGGAGTAGTACTTCCATTTGTGTATTCCAAGGTACCTTTGACAGGCATTACTGGAAAAACACCATAAAATATCCCCATACACACAGTTGAGGCTCAGTCAGTCAGCAGCTTGATCAGTCAGAGCAGAAACAGCTTAAGAGCTCACCCTCTGGTAGCATTGAGGCAGGGCATTTTCCAGAGAAGGAGGAGTTCGCTGCATCAAAATCCCGATGGATTCTTTTAGAAGTGGAACAATACTAGACAGAAAAAAGGAAATTAGCTATTATTACATTTTCAAAAGGTGCCAGGAGCAATCTAAGATTCCTTAACACTGCTCTTAACATTGAGAAATTTTTCTTTAGTTCTTCCACCAGAACTTGAGAAAGTTGCCATGAAAACCCAGTACAGAAGATAAAGGGATTGACAAAATTACTACGGTGCCCTATCAAAGGCAAGATTATTTCTCCCTCATGGTTTCCACAGAGTCAACTGGTGTCCAGTCACAAAAAAATTAATGCTTTAATGACAGGATTTGAGATTAATTCGCTTGGTGTCTTGGAAGTCACACAACAAAGCAGCTGTATAGCTAAAACCTATTTCAATGGCAAATAATTCACAAGCAACCATAAAAATACTCATCTGAAATGGGGTTTGCTTTTGTGTTTGGTTTAAGGCATATTTTTCTTATGAACTAAGATAATAATGGGGCAATCATATAAGAAAATTAGTGTGGAAGAGTCCAASTATAACAGAGTTATTTTGTCAGAAACRCAACTTGGCATAYTCTTGAAGTGAACTAAGTGTAGGGTCTCATCCAAGCTCAAGGGTTAAACATTTGGAAGCAATTAGAGGTTTCCTCCTGGCCAAATGATCTTGTTTAATCAGCAAACCAAGAAGACATTTAATACCCTTTTTTATTATTACCTTTTTTTTTTAATAAAACCAGGAGACCAGCAAGCCTATACCCTGAAGCTACCACTAAAAGGTTATACTCTTATTAAGTAMTCAGCATGGTGATTTTTTTGCTTAGGAGTAGTGCATCATGTCTGGTTCAATAGAGCAGCCTAAAATTTTAGAGTGGATAGCAAATATCTGTAGCCCACCACTAAAGCTTAAATAGCAATTTAATTTTACGAGTATACAAGTTACATAACACTCTGGACCTAAAGTGATCATATATTTCAGAAATTGTAAGTTCTACTTCAGACTTCAGACCAGCATCACAGCTGCAGTACATGGACTTATGGGACCAATAGTACACCTAAAACATTTTTAAGAGATTAACTGGAGCAGTTGTTAAAGGACACAGCAGAACCTTTGTTTAAGCTCTCTTGAAGTGATGTGGAATGCATGGCACAGACCAGATGTGTATTTGCAGATGTGAACAACTCACCTAACCATKTTCAAGAAGGTGTTTCCATGTGAACACAGAAGCAGTGCCGATTGAYGGACTGCTCAGCTCACTCCTGGGCTAAACCTTGGCCAGGGGTGGGAAGGAACGAGAGGCTGTGTAACTCTTGTCTAATGAAGCCCTGGAAAAACCRCCACGCTAAAATTAAGTTTTCTTGCAGGCACAATGGTTTTTCCAGCCAAATTCACTGCCTGGTGCTCTCTAGCACATGGCCTCCCACGTTTGCAGTGCCACCAAGGCATCGGTTCAGAAATAGGAAGAAGCAATTAGGGGCAAGCAGGAGTTGCCTAAACTAGACCTGTCACCAAGACAAACAGTTAGCAATGCARTAACTGTCAATCTGTCTAAAGGAAGCTTAATTGGAGTGTCACATTCTACAGTGGATTACAGAAGTTTAGGGAAAAAAGGTTCTCTTATTAATGGACCCATCTCACTAAATAATGTCCATGTCACAAGCATTACATCAAAGGGAGCTGGAGCTGCCAACACACTCCACTGATGAATTGATTTCAGTTTAACTCCCTATTTAAAATGCAGGTTTGCTTCTTAATAAAAACATTGTAAGACCAATACACAAGTTCAGGATGCAAACTGAATGCAAGAATTTTGAACACTGACTCCATTCCCATAAATTTAACAACGCTTCTCTAACATATGCATCCAAAGGTTTCAAAAACCACACACATACAGGCTGCATAATTTTTTTCCCAGGGAAACAACTAAAGGAATAGAGAATGTAATAGTCTGCCTTTTTATTGAAACACACCACTGAGAGTGAAAGAAAGCTAACAAAAATGTCTAATTTGCACAACTTATTTACAAGGTTTAATAAAACTGATGTACATTATCTGATGGAAGAGAAATTAATTGTCAAGTAGATTTGAAGAGACAGGCTATGAAACAACAATTTAAAARTCCAAAGAGTATAGGTAAATCAGGATGTGGCTTGATACTGTTGGTGAAAGGATGTTGAAGCACATCCAGGGTCACACCTTCTTCCTCTACCTTAGACCCAGTGCTCAGAGTATCTTTTGCAAAAGTGTATCTTTTACAAAGCTGAAAAGGCCAAAAGAGAGCTGCAGTGACATGACAAGCTCTCACAAACGCTGTTCAGAGCAAAGGCCATGAATGCCCCTGTGCATCCAAAGGGATACTAACTTACGTGGTAGCCTAACTGAAAGCCAAGCTAACAAAACAAACAACAGAATCCAGTTTCATCATGTCTGTTTTCCATTGTTTCATGCATACCACTGACATACAAAACCTTTAATTTAAAAACCAACACTCCACTCAGTATGCTCGTTTCTCAAACATTAACTAAAACCAGTCTTACTTAATCAGTAGGAGGCACTAGAAATATCAGTTACACTTCATGTGACTGAAGAAAACACTAGGGAATATGACAAAACCAAGTATGGTGAAAATATTGTCAGAGATTTTGACCAAGCTTTTTTTTTGGCTTGGTTATTAGTGAAAAAAACATGTCTGCCTCCATAGCAACTATTTTACTGGGGCTTTCCCCCTTGTTTAATTTATAAGATTACAGAGGAAAACAAATGATGCTGAATTCTCACCAAAGGGAAGGCTTTCTCATGCATAAGCAATCAGTAAGCTTTGCTATTAAAGTGGACACAACTCCACTGCTTTCTGATTACCAAACCTTWAATCTAAAATATCACACTCTTTTACAAAACAATCAATTTTGAAAAGAGACATTAACCCACAGCAAGATTTTGGATAAAAATACATCCTCTACAAAAGCCAGAAAAGTACAGGCAGCTAATGTTACAGCATCGCATCTGCATATACACTGCTACAGAAGAAGTGAAAGGTGTTCAAACAAATATAAAAACAAACTATTGACACGAATCTAATAAATCCAGCCTGCCCCTACTACACATGGATTGATTAAAAGAGTGAAAGCATCAAACTCAATTAACCTGCCTCACATTCAGATAATACTCATACCCATTCCAGTCCCATCCTGTTTATGTCACYGTTTTTGTCGGCTAGCAAGACTCTGGCATTGTCATGACACTGGAGTGCAAAGCTGAAAACARCTCTGGGTAAAGAAACCTGTACAGAGCCATAGCACTCAGAGCACAGCAGGAAATTCATTCAGTGCTCTCAGCACTACAGAAAATAGAGGATATTTGTGACAGATTTTGTGGAAGGTAAACAAATACTGCTAAGGATCAAGACCAGCTATGGTTCTTCAAATACCATAGATCAAAACCTACAGCCAGATTTCCAGATTCTGGGGTTYTTCCCAGCTGCCATCCATATTCGCAGTGTCAAGACTGCTGGCCTATTTCAGAACTTTAATATTTTTTTTTAATTAGACAATGGCAATTTAAATCAGACTGCATGCTTTGCTCAAGACAAGGACCACAGGTTTTAACATTTGCTTTACTGATTTTTGAATTCTTTGTTCTCATAGCAATGTAGTACCTTGATTCTCCAGCAAGACTGGCAGGTACCATTACCCTCTAAATAAAGGTAGTGCTTGACATTTATCAATAATAGCTTAAAATAATACCAWCAACAATCATGTTCATTTGGAGTTTTGCTATAGCAAATTCCTCCTTAATCTTAGTAAATGCAGCACTTAATTTTAAAAAGTAGGGGTTTTTATACTGTTATGCCCAAACATGAAAGGCATATACCCCAAATGTTACTGGCACACCCTCCCCCAAAACTCTTCCGTATTATATTATGTTCAAGCAGCTCCAGATTTTATGCAAAAAATTATGTTACTCATGGAAACAACTTCACTAAATGACTGAAGCAAATTGCCTCATTTCTTTGACCACTTAATATGCAGTCTGCATGTTCTATGCAATCTAGTATCAGATTTAGTCTGCTGTGCCTTTCTAGAAACATGTGGGTCTAATCGTGGTTTCGGACAAACTTGCTTTATACACCAGAGTTGTGGCTTTTGCGTGGTGACTAGTTTTACATAGCTGACTGAAACAGTAAAATTGCTTCAACATTTCAGAATAAGGCTTAGAATCCTAAGGTTAAAAATTAAATGAATATTTAGTTTTAAATACTAAAAGCAGTTTAGAGACTTAAGAAACTGTTTATTGATTCAGGCACATATAATTATGTGGACAACACCTTGGAAAAAAAACTTGAAGAGTGTCAGCCTGAACTACTATGAAATAGTGCAGCTTTTGCTAAAAAAAACAAGATTAAAAAAGTTGGTAAGACAGACTTGTCTATTTTAAGCCTGTCCTATACTTGCTTTACTTGCATGAGATAGAAAGAGTAATTCGATATTAATGGTTGCATCCAGGATAATTCAAATCCCACAGTGGATTTTCACTGTGCAGTCAGAATGTTCTGTGCTAACACATGAGGAGTTAAGCTGAAAATGTCACCCTAGAGCAGCCTGAGCTAAGGATCACAGAAGCRACAGAGCAAATGTGTCAGCAGCTGACAATTTGCACTAATTAGAGATGTTGTCTACAAGAAGGCTCAACCATTTGATTTAAAAGCACTGCTTGACTCCTCTGAAGAAATATTGCTTAACCCTTCTGCACCTGCATAAGACAAAATAGATTACAAACTGGAATCTGTACAGCTTTATAGTGCACCAGTAAGTTTCTTAGTCATCTTATACAGATATTTTTGTGATTTCTTTGCAAGTTTGGCTTTCATTTCAGAAATCTGAACAGAGAAGATCCACTTACAGCAGCAGGCAAGGCGTGAATAACCCAGAGAGTGCTACCCAGCACTGGAGCAAGCAAACACTCAACATAAATGAACAGTTATCTCACATAGACACAAGCAATCCTGCATTAAAAGCAATGATTTCCCTCTGCATTCTCATGCAATAGCTTTGATATTCTGCTGGTTCATCAGATGCAGTTCCACAAAAGGGAATAAAGATTTCTGTTCTGCCTTTATTCCTTCTTGTATCATAGAAACAATACAGCTAAAAACCAAAAACAAACCCCCAAATAAAACTAATAAAAAAACTAATAAAAACCCACAACAACAAAATATTAACAAAACAACAGGAAAACAGGAGTCCTGGATCTAACCTACCCCCTATTCATACCCTGTAGACACTGTAAGTCAAACTCAGACCATTAAGCAACAACTAGGAGGATACAGTTCCAACTAGGGCAAAGTCCCTGGACATCATTAAAACTTTTGAACGACTTTATCAGACTGGCTTTTGCATCTCTGACTCAAAACTATGCTTCTTTTAGTTCAGCCACAAAGATCCTGATTATAGAATGGATCCTGACTTTTAAATGGAACATGACCCCCACACATGAATAGGGTCTGCTTGTTGGGGCACACACATACTTCACTTTACCTTACCAAAGTTGGTTTAACTAGTAAAAGGGACACAAACAAAATTGACAAGTATTCATCTGAAGCAGCAGACAAGTATTTAATCTAAAGCCTAACTTCCCCCAAAAATTACTCATCAAGGTTTCAAACAGGCCCACAGAAGTGGACAGGAATTCCTAGAAATTGAACATACCAGTCCTTTCCTTCCCAAACCACAGGTATCCCATGAGCAGACAGACAATTAAAAAAACCCAAACAAACAAAATCCAAAACCCAAATACCCTCTACACCCCAAACTAGTCACAGCTCCTGCCATTACCAATTTAAAGTATTTTTGCAATGTTATTCCCCTTAAATTTCAAACATTGCAGAACTTCAGTAATTTTTTTCTCTAGGTTAGATTTAGGTGACTTCAAAAGATTAAGCACAAAACTATTATCTATCCTAGCAAGCATCACCTGGGCTCCCGTATTACTGTCACAGAAGATCACCTTATGGGAAAATCAGACAGACCTTTTGCTCTGATTCTTAAAGAACACTTCAAACACAGCATAGTGAAGAGTAAGGAAAAATTAACAGTACCCAAACAATATCCATCTGAAACTGCCAGTCATCTTATTTATGATTTTAATGTGTATTTCAAGCAAAATTATCACTAGTTAAGTCTGTTGGACTGCTTAAAAAACAAACAAAATACCAACACGAGATCACCCAACCCTGCAATTAGTGTTTGCTCCACTGATGTGCCAGGATATGTCAGTCTGCAAGAAATGCAGGCTTGCTTCTACCACCTGACTGCACTGATAGTAGAATTATTCTACTGATCATTTACAGCACTGTGGACCAAGAAAATAATGTTCAGACTGAAGTGTGCCATCAGATCAAAATGCACATCTAAGAGACAACTTCTCCAACAATTTCAGCATAGAACATGGGTCTCAAATGTTCCTTCTATCTGTGCTAGAAAACCTAGAAACAGCATTATTATTACACCTCTGTTACGGAATTCAGTGTTATTTCAAGTACAGTATAAATGGAAAAAAAAAAAGAATTGTCATTCCCGTGGTATTATCTGCTGTACACAAAGCTAGACCCTTACAACACAAAGTGTATGGAAACCCATGTTTTATTCAGCTACTACCTTTAACCTCAGCAATAGTTTCTTCCCCCTTGGAAATCTGCACATTTTCTTTCCCATTTTTTGAGATTTCAGTAGTTGAAGTAATTTGCAATAATTTTTTATTTATGAAATTAAACAACGTTTAAGTCAAAATTTCAAGAGTTGTATTAAAAGTGATGATTTAACAGTGATCTCCAGCACGGAGATTTCTGTGGGCATTGTGTCTGAASCCTGCTGCCCTACTTTGACAAACGGAGATTCACATCAATAATCCTGTGAGTGCTGCCATGCACAAGCCATAAACATGCCATACATGGTATAAGCACAAGTAGCTGCAGTTCATCAGATGACATYCACTGAACAAAGGTGTTCAGTCATTAGGTTGTAACTGGAGTTGTGGCACGCAGCCCTATGTCACTATTGAAACTGCTGCCAAAAAAGCCTCATAMCACCACTGAATGAAATATTTTCTTGTCCAGTCTTATCCAAATAGCTTCACATTTACAGTGATCTTGGTAAGCAACAACTGCAAAAGTCCAGAAGTAGTTGAAGCATTTCCATCAGACCTTAAGAGGAATAAGGATGTCTCAGAGTACAAACACAAAGGAAAAGTTCTTGTCAAGTTTCTTGTCAAGATAAGAAAACAAAATCAAAACTTTCCAGCCTTGATTTGTCAAGGACAAGGGCACATCCTGTGCCAGCAGACTCAATTCTGCTGCCCTGAAACCATTCTGCTCCATTTACTGGAGTACATTGGTTTATATAAGCATGTACTAAATACAGAGATGAAGCTTTCCACAGTTGGAACCTGAAAGACATTTTTGGAGTATTATGCAAAGAGGTACAAAATATGCAGATTTAAGAGCGAAAGCTTTAGCTGTAGAAAAGGGAAAGAAAGACAGCTCATGTAAGAGCTCACCAGAATGGCTGTACAGAACAGGGCTAGCATACCACTCCTGGAAGAAAAGCAAATGTTGTAAGTCATTTGCATAACAAAAAACCTTTTTCTTCTGAGCTGTAATTTCTCCTGTAACTAGAATCAAAAATACTACCAAATACCAGTGAYAGAAACACTTACCTTACACCTATAAGTAATGCTATCAGCATAGAACAAATAGGATCTGCTATCATTAGACCATAGTTCTGCATCAATAGAGCAGATATGATTACACCGATACTTCCGAGTGTGTCTGCCACAATGTGCAGAAATACACCTGTAAGAGATTAAGTGATACCATTACAACCTGGTATTCTTAAAGCTAAAGATGCATTTGAGAGATGTTTCACAGAAAGGAGTTTCAAGAACTAGATAATATGATTCATACTTGTTAAATTTGTGGTAATTTTRGGTCACCACAACAATTTTACATATTTGTAGAATATGGACCATGGAATTCATGTTCTTTTAGCAGTAATGGGTATTTCGTGACAAGGCTATTAACTTAAATAGTGATTAACAGATGTACCTGGGCTTTTTTYATTCAATACCCACCCATATTATAGTAAAGAGGCTCATGTTCCCTGATGCATAGAGTAGTGAATACTGTATAAGATAGACTGTTAACAGAAACAGCTCTCTAAACTTTGACACAATGTTTAATTCACAACACTTTCTAGAAGTTATTTGGCAAGGAAATCCAAGACAACTAGATTTGAGAAAAAACAATACTGCAGACATGAAAAACTTTACTCTTATTCTGAAGAATAATAACACTGCCTTGAAGTACAAAGAAGCACATACTTTGCAGCTAGTCAAAATCTAGCCTTTGGAGCTCTCTGCTGGCAGTGACTGGAAGTCATTCAGAAACAGCTTTTTGACTGCAATTCTCCAGACAGATAATCCCCTCTTGTAAAAACTACACACAACTATAAATCAGCTCTTTGGGGATTTCTCCAAGTCTACATTTGTACTGGTCTGGCTGAGACAGAGTTAGGGCTTCTCCAGAGCAGCCTGCATCAATCCTGTTCCTCACTGCCACACAGCAAGTAGGCTGGAGTGGGCAAGATGCTGGGAGCGCATAGCCAAGACAGCTGATCCAAACAGACCAGAGAGAYATTCCATACCATCCCACATCATGCTCACCAATAAAACCAGGGTGCTGTYTTTCCCAAATAGCTGCTGCTCAGAGACATCCCCAGGTACTGATCAGCTGGTGAGAGATGATTGCTTGGGAGTGATTGTCTCATGAGTGATTGACTTTGCATCACTTGGCAGGCTTTCTCCCCCAGCATTGAAAAATTAAAATAAAATCTGGTAATTTTAATACACTTCAATTAAAATTAGCCTTTCACAAAAAGACTGACTTCCAAATACCTTCAGCTGAAGTACTGAGTATACAAATACATAATATGGTGCACTGTAAATTCTGGAAGAGCATGCAAATGCTCATTTTCAAGGATTATAAATGAGACAGAAAATCATCCAATAAGAGAAAACCCTATGTACCTTTGGGTATGCACAAGTAATTACTACCTCCTACATTTCATAATTGTCTCCCTTTAGCATMTGAACATTAAAAWAAAATCCAAAACAAAACGAACAAACAGACAACCAAAGCCTTAAACCAGCATCKAAATTACCCATAAGCTAATGCCCAGGAAATCAGGGACTCCAACTATTTCAAGAAATCCAGAGTGCATTACCATATTCTCTAAACCACCTCTAAAAGCTTGATGAAATGCAAGTTTTAAGCTCAGGCATTCTTCAACAATTATATCACTCTGCATTTTTTAAATACATGCTATCTTAAACATACTGCTCTTCATGTTACAGAATATATATTGCAATTAGGCTCCTTAGGTTTCTTCTTTTAACCACCCTTTCCTAGTTTTTTGTTAATTTTTCAGTGTCAGTAACAGAAGCTGAATCCCAGCTTTTGCAATGTCTCTTTTAAACTGTGTTGACACTGCATTCCATTTAGATTTCTGTGAATGTCTAAACACCTAGTCATGCACTAGGGTACAGCAGAGCTGTTACAGGTGGAATGCAACTTCATTAAAGAGCTCCTTTAAGAAAATTGTGGCATTTATCCAGAGGGACCCTCTAAAACAGGCGTGTGACAGACCCAGGCAGGCAGACTGTGATAAAACCAATAAACCATTATATTGTTCTAATCGTACCTTGTAAAATCTGTTTGCTGGATCCGCCTATTACTTCAAGAGAATGGTCATCTGTGAAGACAATTATTGACATATTAACCTAGACAAAGGCTCTCTCTAGTGGTCCTTCTGTTACACTGTGCCTTTCAGAAATGTCTTGAACAGACAAGCTGCTCACTRTCATCAGCCTTTACTCTAGCTGTTTTTTTTTTAATGCAGCAGTTAAATGAAAAGTCTTAAAATGCATTTTTAAAGTAAAACATCACTGTAAACAATAGATTTCTACATATGTATATATAAAAATATCTACATTTGTTTTTAATTAAAATAAACTGAGAGTTAAGAGCTTGCTAGCATATAGCAAAATAAGGCTCCCTCAAGAACCCAAACCATGAACACAAGGAGAGTAGGTTCAAACACGTCTGCCAACCAAAAATACTTTATTAAGCAAACATTTTTACCTAATGTAAAACAACAAGGATAAGACTTGGAGAAGGAAGAAGTAAAAAAAATCTTCTCATCCAAGCAGATTAATGCCTCTGTAGCATTAATACAGAAGATACTTTAAGAAAAACTTGTTAAAGGATAGCAAAAGGCTTCTAGTGAAGATATGCAATAATTTACACAACAGCTGATTTTAAAAATCAAATTGCACAACACAGATAGCTAAATTCATTGGTCCACAGGGGTGGGGGGAATGGGGAAAGCAAGGAAGAGGCAGTAGCAGGGAGCTCYTGCTTTCCAACAAATTCCAGGAGAACTTCGAAAACAAACACCAATCTTCTAAGAATAGCAAGGAAGAGACAAGTAAATATTTTTATACTCTTTGTCACCTCCTGTCTGCCAGTTCCCACACTATTCCCTGCTCTGAATGTGCACATTTTCAGCAGTGCCAGATTCTGGTTTATGGCTTAGCCAGGAAGGACTGACAGCTCTGCATTACCATAAGGCTTTCATTTGCATTGTTTCAGGTAAGTGGTACCTACACAGCCTCTTCTCCCACAGTGAAGGCTACTAATCATGTTTTGCATAAATGTCTCTTCTCTGTTTGCCTTCATAGAGAAGATGCAAGCATAGCTAACATAACAAGTATCTTTTTYATAACCATCTTAAAACAAAATACAACTACACAAAATGGGGCAAATCTTATTTGAGATTACAAACCAAGTAAAACAGGCTATCCATAAATACCCAAAATCTGTTGGTTCATTTTTTCTAATATCTTGAGCTGCACAATTATTCAAATGGAGAATACCAGCAAAGCAGCTTAACTTTGTACATTGATATTAATGAAAAAATTGAAACAGGGCACTTGATAACTAATTTCACTGTACTGCCACAGCATACAGCTGTCCATCTTTTGCCAAWACACACYATTACAATGAATAGTCAAAAACCAGAAGTAAAGCAAAATCTTTAAAAACTAACACTGAATTTAATGCAAGTGAAACTCAAAGTGARCCACAAAACATGGTGGTGGCATAGSAAACCAGACAYTGAATGAAGCTACTTCCATGTATKATCACAACARAGTGTGTCAGCACACTTTTTTTCCCAGTAAATTATTAATAGCAGATTTAGACTGAGTCAGGATGATCTAAGATATCAACTCAATACTTACCATGACAATAATCCTGACCATGAGAGTGTCCATGGCTATGGCCGTGACCATGAGAGTGTCCATGGGAATGTTTGTGTTCATGGCCGTGCCCACGATCTCCATGACTGTGCCCATGGCTCAGACCACCATTAAATAGAGAATGGCTGTGCTCATGCCCTATAAACAAAGAATACCATCAGAGTATGAACTCAAATGGTTAATATAAGTACACTTACATTTAAATTCTCAGCTACTCAAAAACCTATTAAGCTTTTAAATCATCTTAAGGTATGGCTTTACATAACTTAAGAAACTTAATGCAAGCTGTTTGCCATCTACAGCTCTGCTGTACAGACATATTTTATATATTTATCTACACACACATAAAAAATACCAGATTTGAGAAGTCAAGTGCTTTTACACATTCCCACTTCTGAGACATGCTGTGCTACACTTTTAGCACAATTTGAAAAATGTACACATAATTAGATATAAGCGCTTTAAAAATAGTTGTTCTAAGAAACTAGAAAATGACTATCATTTGCAGATTAAAAATTCAAGCTTAGATTGCTGCTTAAAGATCAAAGACTATTTTCTTCCACCAGTCTATATAAGTTTATATATTAAACTAAAAGGAAGACCTACAGGCTTTGCAGAAAAAAAACCCCAGAGTGATTACCACATGTATTTAGGCAAATAAATTCTGCATTTCAATTCAAAAGACACTAAGCTGAGAAACACCTGAAGCAGAATCATCTCATCCTTAAAATTTGGTTCAGACACTGCTTTCTAAATTTTCCAGCCACAACCTTGATAAGTCCAGCTTAAATTTTTCCAAAAAGATGTTGTGCAAATCTCTTTCAATAAGGTGCTGAAGAGTGCATGAACTCCAGAAAGCAGGTTCTGGACTTCTAGGTGTCCCAGTTAATGGATATTAACATGACATGTGCAAAAGTGACATACTATGGCTAGTAACAAAACACAGAAGAAGTCAACATAGCTAAAACTGCCATCAACAAGACACCAAATGTAACACTGGGGTTCTCACTGGGGGATAACAAGGTCCTGGAACACAGGCTGCCAAGAAAGGAAACAGTACTGGAAGTTACATCCTACCAGAGCCGTGTGAATGCCCATGACCTCCATGCTGAAAAACAAATATTCCTATAAGATTTACAATGAATCCCAGTATGGAAACAGGAAGAAGTCTCTCATGATGCACATCAGGAGGCTCAAGTGCTCTCTAAAAAAAAMCAATTAAAAACAATAAACAAACCAAAAAGCAAATGTAGAGCTTTACAATCTCTTTACATTTTTAAAAGGCACCAGAAAACTACTTAGATACAGAGGCATTCTCACATATAACATACATCTAGACATAGTTAAAAATTACTCAGGCCTTCCAGTTCTTGGGATGATAGACCAATTTGCACTGTCTGAAAATAAAGTTCTATTATTAAAGCTGTGAAAGTACAGTAGAATATTCAGAGAGTCTAGCTCAGTTTTATCATAAGATTKAGTTATGCTGTGGGATGTGGCTCAACACCACTTGACAAATTCAGGTTTGTTCCAGTATGTGGATTGCTTAAATCGCCCATACAGCTTCCAGGAGTCTAGAATGCCATTTTTTCCTTTCTGCTTAGAAAGCTGAGGCACTGAGGGGAATGAAATGAAGACTGAGAACAAATTATGACATTTTTTAGAAATCCTCAAATTTAGATTGATTTTTTTTTTAAATTCTTTTTTACTTCTCTTTCTACTTCCTCTGGATATTTTTCTCAGTGAGAAACTATAGACGTAATACAATTTGCCTCTGAAGCTAAGTGTTGATGAGTGTAAACTACCACTAACAGAGGAAAAAAACATYCACCATCTCCCCAGAAGGTACAGGCAACAAATAGCAAGACAATAAAAAACTTCCAGCATATGTAAAATTTTAAAGTAACAGAAAGAAAAAGTCACCATCACAAGCAAAAGGAATACTTAGCATAGGAGCTCAGATCAGCAGGGACAGAATTATGTTTCAACATTACCCTTGATGGATTTTAATTTTTCTAGTAAGTTTTGCTCCTGTTTCTAGATTCAGAGTGAAGTTTTACCAAGATTTTAGGCAATTTCAGCCCAGCTTGAACTGATTTTCAAGTATTTGCTATAAATACAGAAAAGCGTTCCTAAAAGCTCTTCCCAATTCTCTATTAATAAAAGAAAAACCCAATAGAGTGTGTTCTGAACTAGAAATCTAAACAAATTTATAGTGTAGCTCCTACTAAAAAGTAAAAGCATTAATGCAAGCTGATCAGAAATAGTTACCAATTTTACTCTTAATCCTTGATGTTTGCCTTAATGCCTAAATTTCAGTCTCAAAATTATCACCTGGACYATCATGTAAAAAAAAATTCAAGAAAAGACCCTTTGCAAATGTTTAAGCTATGAGTACTTGCCATTTACACCAGACTTCAACATTTGTARGACAGTGCTCTTTCTTTAACAAGTTAGTCTAACTTCACAGAATGTTACTTATGACTAACTTCTCTCCTCTGAATTACTAGTTTGGGCCTTTCTTTCTTGGCCTCATTTGCTCTTTAAYAATGAGAAGTGAACATCTTTCTAAGACCTCCTTAACTGGCTGGAAAAAAACCACAGGCTCCATATCACAGAATCTTTACACATAAAACAAAGTACACTGTTGAAGAAGCTAGTACAGATAAACTGAAAAAGCTGGGTTCCTCTGTCATGAAACAGCAATTGCAGATGGCCCTATTCTTTGTTCAAATCACAGATTTCTAATCAATTATGAACATAATTTAATTTTCCAATTAATGTCAGTAATTCATTCTTATTAAACCAGATTTATCTCTATTATAGTGTAATAATGTAATTGATTTCATAACATACCTCAACACCTTCAGAAAAAATGAAGAATGCTGTAAAGATGAGGAATAAACCATTTACAAAACCAGCAAGTACTTCTGCTCGAACATAACTGAAAGAAACAAAAAAAAAAGRTATTACCAYCTTCATTTAAATGCTGGAAATKAGAAGCAGAACTTAAGAGAGTGGAGTGCAATTGTCTCATTCTCAGTTACATGACACAGGGATTTGCAAAATGGAAGATGGCATATAAATTACTGGTTAGTATATAAAACTGACCACATTGTATTTTGACAGAAACGACCTGATCCAKATCAGCCATTCTCTGTTCTAGACAGAAGAAATCTTTCAATAATATGTCAAAATATTTTAATTTAAGATCATCCCTRCTTGAAGTTCTGGTATAATGTATATTTGGAAGCCACAAACTAAGATAAGCATGCGAAATGTAATCAAACTTTTTTAATGCGAAGTTATGCTTAATATCAAGCAGACACATATTAATTTGCTTCCCCTCTAGAAGGTGGATTTTTAGTAAAAGTCTTAATTAGAAGTTAATTATTTGAAACATCAAATTTTGACATTAAAGAACTGGCAGGTTAGAATAATATGTAATTTCAATGTAGCAAACATCAGACTTAATAAAGTGCGGCTGCTCTCTGATAAATGGAACACCAGCTGTTTAAATGCTGAGCAGTAATTAATACAGAACATGCCTTCACTGCAATTAGTTTATGGTATGACTCTAAATTGATTTCTATGCACACTGGACATTCCACCTTAATTAAATTGTGCTTAAGTTTCAAACTATWGGGCTCACACTCAAGCAAGACAGCTGAAGCTAAACGCTGATACACAGATCAGTAATGCTGTGGGGGATGCCCATGTTAYATCTCATTTGCTGTTAATCAGTATTACCAATTAATAATACTGTACCACCAGYATTGTTTTATAGGGCACAGCTGCAATGCTCAGTGAAACCCAGTGGCGGTCCAATGCCAGTTGCAGTAGGTAAATCCACCAAGGGCAGTATGGAATGACACACCACAGCCTTGAGGACCTGTGTTAGTTGCAGTCACAGCTCTCAAATCCTCCTGGTTCCAAGAATCATGGATTTTAATCTCTGATGCAGCATCATTGAGACTGAGCTCCTTTCAGTTATAACTTTCTATTCCAAAGGAGGAGTGGGACACAGCAGTCTGAAAATGCCTGTAACAACCCTCACTGCATTGAGACAAACCCAGGATGTGGCTGCTTATTCTTCACTGCTGCCATTAATCCATGACAAGGCATGACAACTTTCTGCTCTGTAACTTGTTTCCACTAATATGATGAGAGAGGTCTTGGAAGTGATAGGCCTTCCCAAAAGCAATGTCTTCATATTTTTATTATTTCTAGAGGTATATTAACTTGGGTGTTTACACAGCTCACCTTAAAAAAAGCCCTCACTTTCAACATAATTTTTTCCTGCTCTTCACAAAGCTTTTGTTTGTCTAGTGAAAAATGACTATCTAAACGTTTACTATAATACATTAAGGTAACAGCCTGAAGTTCCTTACCCATATGAGAAAGCATCGTTTGACCTCCATTTTGAAATAACTGAAGCTGCTAATCCAGCCAATAGAGCAGTACAGTCAAAAAACATATGAAAGGAATCTGATATTAGACCTAAACTGGAAGAGAACAGGAAAAAAGTGTTATGTTCTACATGCTGCATGTTGAGTATAAAAAAAGACCYCACAAACATTAATCTTTTACACACTAGCAGAATACACTATGTTTCTAAGCTTAAGGCATGGTTTTGCTAGCACAGAGGAAAAATCCACACTTCATTATCAAAACAAATATGATGCCAGAAGTGMATTTGTCAGCTTAGGGAAGGCACTTTGGAAGAGTGCTTGGCAAAAAAAAATCCTACCAGCACATGATTTTGATGATTGTGAAAGGTGGTTTCCACTGACACAAACAAAAATCCCTGGAGYAGATGTACCCACAGCCACATAGCTCATCAACATAATTCAACCTTAAATCATTGCCTTAGCAGCTGTAAGGCATTGACTAGAAGATATACACCTGTGAGATCTAGAAGCTGAAGAAATCAGGCAGAGAAACCACATCTTAAATGGCTTATTTCAAAGACTAATGCACAACWGATCGACAAACACCATTAAAATAAACCTGCATGGTAAAAGGTTCAAAGCCACTAAAATTAGTTCATGAGTTAGCCAGTCAGTAGAACTCATAGCAGTTTGTAGGCTGTAGGTAAACTGGGGTTAACACTACACACAAGAGTTGCCAAAGTTTACCAAATTACTCATGAACAGGTTCTGTAAGTCTGCAGGGAAGTATGTGCAYTGAAACTAAAACATTGCTTCATATTTTAAAATACATTTGATACAGAGGTACTGTTGGGCCCTTTCRTTACTCAATTGTCCCAAAAGTTCCATTTTCCCAGTTCTTTGGTTATCTAAGAATAACTACATACACAACTCAGTTCTTGGAAACTGAAGCACCAGAAACAAGTACTGGTTTAACAAGTTCTAGAGGATAGACACATATTTACATTGAAGTCAAATACGAAGTTTCATTAGTTCCAACCACTTCACATTAAAAAGCCAAACCATTACAGCCTTAGTGAAAACAATTACAACATTAATCTTAAGTTTTTCAGATGATACACTCAACAGTGGAAGAAGTGGGTTCGAAGGAGAGGAAAGAGAATAAGTGTCTTGTTCTGTGTATTTACATATATATTTACGGACACATACACAGTKATATATACACACAACTGTAACATTTAAGGTAGAGTGATGATGGCATGATAAATTGTCTTTAAGTGTTATGGTCAACAAACCAGGAGAGATGAAGCTGTTCTGAACAAACTTTAAAACAAGACCCAAGCTTTTAGCTCGATAACTAGGAAGCAGCAAAATGGAATTAGCTATTAAATTCTTGAAAGGTTTTGGTGACATCTTCCCCCTTCCCAAAACCAGATGACATTTTTAGGGACACAGCTTATTATAGGTTTGGTTCTGATCAGTTACAAAGATCCAGTGAGAAAAAAAACCCACTATAAAGCATACCAAATATTCAGACAGAAGGTGATCAGGGTGACATTAACCCTAACTTGTAATGATTATGGAATGCAAGGAATAAGCATGGCTAAACACAGAGAGCTACAGCTTTCTGAAATGTTTGGGGTTTGATGGTGGGGTTTTCTTTTTTTTTTTTTGGTTTTGGCTTGTTTTTTTTTTTTGGTTTTTTTTTTTAATACAGCCTTCTGGGAAAGAGAAGTGTGCACTGACCCCTACTCTAACAAAATCCCATACAAGTTCTAAAACCAGAAATCATACAGCAAGTTACCATGACACTGGGCTCACACCTGCAAATCTCACTAAGGCAAGACTCACCTAAAGTGCTGCACCCATAGAGCTGTGCTGCTTTCAAGACCTAAGCTAACAACTCCAGGTGTCCAGAGGCACGTGGCTTTATCAGCAGGGGTGAGCAGACCACATGTGCAACGCAATTCACCTGGTGGCATAACCATGCTCTGTACCATAGCTACAAGTGATTGAACTGCACAAATGAAAGGAAGCCTACTAAGAGATCAATCTCATTTCATCTGAGGCTTTTTTAAAGTGACCTGTAAAGTAACAAGACTTTAGAAAAAATGGGCGCAAAGTGATTACTGAAGTAATCAAGCGACCCAGTCAAYGACCAGCGAAGGAAGTGACCCACCAGCAACTAAGGATGCATGCAAGAACTTCTGTTAGGATCAAACTAACAGCTGTTAAACACACTGTGTCTAAATAAAGACACTTTCATAGCTGACTTAAAAACACAAGTTTAACAACAAATTAAACAAATATGTGCATGCAGCAAATTTCAACTGTAAACAAGCTCTCAGCCAGCAAACTCGTGACTAATGACAGAACTCGAGGAAACTGCATGAAGCTGAGTTGGGGAAAGTTTAGATGAGACATTAGGAAAAGGTTTTTCATCCAGAGGGTGGCTGAGCAATGGAACAGGATACCCAGGGAAGCAGTCACAGCACCAAGCCCGACAGAGTTCAAKAAAACATGTGGACAACACTCTTCKGTGAGTAAAGAACCTATGTGGTAAACAAATGCTCAGGAGAATCTCTCATGTGAGGAGCAACAGAACTGTGTCTTCAAAATGACAAATCAATTTTCCCTATAGGGCTCCTTGTTTGCTTGTTATGTGTTTGCTCTTCCAAGGCATGACCTGTCTGCTTTGACTGAAGATACTCCTCATACTCTGTCATCTCTCTGTACTGAAGAGGTGCTTGCTAAGACACTGTTTTGTCCTAGCCTAACATCTAAGCTTAGAGATAGCCATTAGTTGAACCTTTTGTTTRGGTATCTAGCAAATCCTAATTCTTAATCTCAAGAACGAACAAAAGTAAGTGTCGTCTCAATTCCAATATGCCAAATCCTCCAGTGACAAAGTTCTGTCTCACTGAAGTTCCTCAGTTTAGTTATCTCATATACAGGACTTTTTAAGGTCACACTACTAAAACACTTTATTATGCTTAAAAGACAGACATCAGAACAAAGTCACATGAACACAAAGCTCTTTACATCAGAACACCTAAGAAAAATATTTACATCTGCTGAGTTATTAGAAAAAAAATCCATACTCAAATAGACAGACTATGCGTACAATAACCCTCACACAATTGAAAAGTGAATCAATATCAAAGCCAAAAGTAAACACATTCAAAATGGTCTGGGTGCTGCCAAGATAGTCTGTGCCTGTGGTAGCATTGTGTGCTCACTGGTGACACAGCCACAATCACTGCAGTCAAGATGAAGGATTTTGTAGTGTCATTTGAGAGATTCAGAACAACATGGCAGATATTAGGATGCAACAGTTTCCAAATCTTCATTGCTGCATTCAATGAAGACTTTTAAGAGCCCCAGTAATTTGTCCACACTACAGCTTTTGTAAGGACACTGCTGGATTTAAATGGTAGTCCATTCTGATCTGAACTATTAACAGAGACTGAAATATCATCATAAAACAACTTCTCCATCACCAATGAAGCACGATGGAAATAACAGCACTATTGCTTGTTCTTCCCCTCTACACTGTAAACCAAAACTGAAGTTATTCTGCATTTCTGCTTTTATCTTGCTACAGATTTTTCTGCAACGTAGTTRAGTCTTTTCCATTTTTTCCACTCTTGTGAATTTATGTGCTATGTAAAGTACCACTCAGATATACCAGGATATGTCATTTCGCCCTCGAGACAGGGATGTTCGAGGCAGCGATACCCAAATATCARCCTACAGATGAAGTCACACTCTCCAACTGAGGATCTCTGTGGCAAGCGGCACCACGATCTCTGTGGCACGGCTACAGCCCCCAACTCCCGTAAGTCGGGCCAAGACCAGGTTTCCTCCTCAGAAAAACACCGAGCCTGACATCARTTCCAAACAGCACTCCTCCACAAGGCACCCAGTCGCGTCCCCCAGCCGGAGCGCCTCCCCCGCGTCGCCGGGACCCGGCAGAAGGGATGGGGGCGCCGGTCGCTGCCCCCGARAGCAGTCCCGGCCGGGGGAGGCTCTCCAGCGGCCCCCAAGGCTCTGCCGAGCGGCCCCTCCGRACGGCGGACCAGGAGGCCCTGCCCCGCCGAAAGGAGACGTGGCACTGGCCGGGCGGGACGCGCCGCTTCCTGCGCGCTGGAGCCGCGTTCGCCCCGCCGCGCCCCCGCCCCGGTACCTGTTACTCCAGACGCCGTAGAGCAGCTCCACGAAGGCGAAGGACAGGTTGAGGCAGAGGAAGGAGAAGAGGTTGCGGGAAGTCTTGTCCGCCAGGATAGACCTGCRTACGGAGCACACCGCGGGTCAGCGGCCGCCGGTACAATGCCAGGAGACCGGACCCGCCGGCCGGCCGGCCCGGGAGCCTCGGCACCAGCCGGGACAGCCCCTCCACGGGGGCTCGGCCGCAGCGCCGGCAGCGCCCGGCCTGGCCCGCCGTGGGCCACTCACCTGAACCAGCTCGATATCTTCCTGAACAGGTTGAGCCTGGGTGGCTTGTACTCATCGTCCTTGATGGAGAGGGGCAGCATCTTTCCGGCCGCGGGGCCTCGGCGCGCCGGGCCGGCAGGACGGGCAGGCGGGGCGGGAGCGCTGCCCGGCCGGCCCACACGCCGCTTCCGGCCGCCACCGCGCCTGCGCCGGCGCGCCGGGGGCCGGGCCGTGGGCCGAGCCGGGGCGGCGGGGGCTTCCCGGGCTCGGGGCTGCGGCAGCCGCTAATGGAACACAGCAGGCCCCCAACGTGAACTTTTATGYGTCCCGTGCCAGCCGCTCGCTCGCGTTCCGCTTGCGATGCCGGGTGCTCCCGGCGCAGCTGTTGTGGCGACGCTCGGCGCGGGGCGGGGGCGGCGGAGCAGCGCGCTCGGTGTGTGACAGCCAGAGCCGGCGGAGCGCCCCGCCCGCCGCAGGACCCCGGACTACAACCCGGGGCCTGCCGGGAGGAAACGCAGGGACGCCCCGCAGGAAGCGGGACGCGGCGGCGCCGCCGTAGCACTGCCGCGGTCCCGCACGGCCGCCCCTGAGTCACCGGAGCGGCTTGTGCGGGGCCAAACGGGGGGGCCGGACCGGCACCTCCTCCGCCCTGCCCTGCCCTGGCGTGCCGCTGGTGACACCTAGAAAGCACAGCCCGGCCGGAGCAAGCGGCGAGAGCGGCTCCTGCGGAACGTGAGCGAAGCTGTGGGCGAGGGGCGGTGAGCGGGCGGGCGGTGCTGGGCGGTGCTGGGCGGTGCTGGGTGATGCTGTGCCATGCTGCTGCCTGGCTGCACCCAACTACTGCGGGGTGCTGTTAGAAGGTGCTGCCCGCCAAGGGAGGGGAACCCGTTCGAGAACTCTATTTCTTGGAATGAGGATTAAAATACCAGTCTTTGATTAACAGGTTTTATTTTCGTCAATTTTGTTTTCACTGCAGGGATCATTGTATGATTTTTTAAAAGAGGTAAATCTGGCATTGCAATTTCATAACGTAATTGGCAAAACTGCTCTGCATTTTCTTCTTGGAAAGTGCCATGAAGCTAATTTTAAAACATTTAAATAGACGTTTATTTTCAGAATATATAATAATATCATCATTGCTTATCACTACACCTGTTGTAAACATTAGACGGTATGGCGAGCAAAGTCTCATAAAACAGCAGACAGTATTTATATTTTTGTCATAAATGTACTTTTAARTTTTAATTATTCGTTATAATAACTAATAACTAATTGCAACTAAGTTGCAAACTGCAGAAAAAGGATCTTCGGTTCACCTTTTCAAAAACAGATTTGATGGGAATATAGTGGACCTCATAAATACTCAGTAGTCACTGCTGCTAATAATTCTTAGAAGTCAGGCATGATTATTTATTCCTACAAAATGAAGCAACCAAAACAAGCTATTAGCTTCCAGAAATAGTTTTACTGACTCTTGTCACAAAGTAGTAGTAAGATTTTAACTCAGATATGGGAATACCTGWATATGTGGACACATTGAGGTTGGTATACACACAAATTGACAAATCTGTATTTACAAGAAGCAAATTTATATAGCCCAAACAAATTACTCTTAAAAAATTTCATACAGATTCAGTTATTCAACAAATTCTTGTTCTCTAAATTTTCAYAGTACCATTCCCAAATCAAAATTAAAGACTCTTTGGTTGTTCAGCTAGTTTTAAAGGAACAAAAATCCCTCCAACAACCTAGGAGCCTTAACAGACACAGCTTTGTCCTGCATCCTATATATCCTTCCTTTATGTGGTTGCACTCATATCTTCCAGCTGCCAAACCTCTGATRCGACTGGTAATCTTAGTAGAAGGAGCATGTGAAAGGGGATGACCCAGAAAATAATTTTATTGGGACCATCTGCCTGACTGTGGTACCCAAATATGTATTTTAGGGGTGCCTGGTGAACAAAGCAACAGCTGTCAGATTCTGGAGATGTACTTGAAGCTTTGAATCTGAACTTAAGGATGGAACACACAGGCATAGCACTGGCACAAAGCAGCAATTTTACAAGCAGAGAAACAGGCTGTTCTTTTCTTTTTAACCATCTGGTGTAATAACTTCTTCCTGAAGTGTTCATTGAAAACCAGAAACATTTATTCAACTGAGCAATAGAAAAAATGGGATAAATTGCCATGAATGCGTATATCAGTCAATAATTGAGAAGAACTTTTACTTGTAAAAAGAATGCTGGGTAGCATGTGGATAACTTTTGATCTGCAGTTATAGAGTCCCTTTAATTTCTAACAGATTCAAAGATCACAGACGACTGCCCTGTGAAAACAAGGGGAGAGAAACAATCCTACTTGGCCACAATGAGGTAAGTTGCAAGGCTTTTCAGACTAAAATAATTTACATTTGTATTTTCATGCATGGTATTTGCATTTTGGAAAAAAAAATTACTCAAAATTCCGTGAAAAAAGCACACAGAAACTCTCTCAAAAATTGTACYTGTTTGGCTGTCCCGGATCACTGAATTTGATCAGAATTCCCTGCTGAAAGCCTAGAAATTTCTCACAGCAATGTGAATATGTATAGGTGATTAACGGTATTACAATAATATTACAAAGTTAGTAGCAAGCTTAAAATGTTCATCTTATGTTTAATCCCTACTAATCATGCAAGTAAAGGGTGAGAAAATGAAAATGTATGAAGTTTAAGAAGTGCCAGATTCTGCATCTGGGATGGGGCAACCCTGGATGTACAGACAGACCGGGAATGAGAGGCTGAAAAGCAGTGCCATGAAAGGGACCTGGGSGTCCTGGTYRGTGCCAAGTTGAACATGARCCAGCGGTGCCCTGGCAGCCAGGAGGGACATCCCTGTCCTGGGGRGCATCAGGCACAGCATKRCCAGCAGGGCAGGGGAGGGGWTTGTCCCRCTCTGCTCTGCACTGGGGCAGCCTCACCTTGAACTGGTTAAGTTTTGTAAGAATATGAGAATACAACATAAGAAGGATATAAAGCTGTCAGGGAGTGTCCAAAGAAGAGCTGCAAAGATGTAAAAGGCCTTGAGAGGAAGCTGTATGAGTGGCTGAGGTCACTTTGTTCAGCCTGGACAAGAGCGGCCTGAGGGAAGACCTCACAGCTGTCTACAGCTTCCTCACTAGGGAAGTGGAGGGGCAAAGCATGATCTCTTCTCTCTGGTGAACAGTTACAGGATTCAAGGCAATGGCATGAAGCTGYGTCAGGGGGGTTTTAGGTTGGGTATTAGGAAATATCTGTCTTAACCAGAGGGTGGTTGGGCACTGACTGGATCAAGCTAGGAAACAGTCATAGCACCAAGCCTCAGGATGTGTTTGGGCAATGCCCTCAGGAACATGGTAGGATTTTGGGGCCTTTCCTGTGCAGGGCAGGACTTGGATTTCAATGATCCTTGTGGGTCCCTTCCAGCTCAGGATATCGTATAATGATACGATGTTAATGTTACGAACATTTGAGGGGCAAACTATGGAACACAGTGGTTGCRGGATCCTTCAGAGTTTTCAATTTATAAATGTCTGGCAATGTTGGGGSTATCTTTCTAAAAGCTGCTTCTTAAGAGCTTCTGTTTAGTTCCAAGATCAAGAGGATCCAGAAACCTCTGTCTCAAACTATGTCCTTACCCACAGCTGGCTGATATGTATTGCCATTTTCGTAAGAGTTCTAGATATATCAGGTCAGCTGTTGCCGATATTGTCGCATTTCTCTATTACTCTACTTGGCATGTTTCTTTTGCTCCATTTATGTTATAACCTTAGTATGATCAGCATGACATTTTTTGTACTGATTACCATGACCAAGCAGATATACAAAYTATTGACAAAATGTCCAGCCAATCAGTTATAAAGATTGTTCCTTCTGTGTGGTGCCTGAGCAACGGAAGAAGTATTTTATTTCCTCCTTTCTGCCAGAGCTTTTGAGAAGGTTTTTCTCTCCTTTTTGCTTCCCAGTTAAGGTGGAGCTCTTGCAATGCTGACAACATTGAGTATCTGTACAAATTTGCTTTCTGCTTTCAGCTGGATAGATTTGGTGAGGTACAAAAATATTTAATCAAAAAGTTAGTACTAAGAAAATGGGAAACAATGAACACGCTAAAGAACTACCCTACATTTATTTTCGCAAAACAATAAAATCCAAAGTTAACAAAAAAAATTGAAAAGCAAGTAAACATAGAAACTGAGTACCAGAAGTATCTGTCTCGATAGTTGAAAGTAATTTGCCAAAGTGCTAAAGTCCTCCTTATTTACTTACTTAAATGAAAATCTACTCAATATGTTGGAAGTTTTGATCAAGTGAGAAAACTGTACATGGGTTTACTGAGTTCCTTTCCTGTTACTTGTTTTAAAGGTGTTTTCACTTCTGTAAGYTTCCAGGAAGAGTTATGGGAATCCGCCTACTACGATTCACCTCTGTGGTGATCATCGTCTTACTTCTTGTGGCAGGTGCTTTAACAGCTTTGCTTCCCACTATCAAAGATGACAAATTGCCCAATTCGAGAAGGGAACCAAAAACCCAGAGTCAGTCTGCTTTGGATTCATTCACTCTTATTATGCAGACATACAACAGAACTGACTTACTGCTAAAGCTTTTAAATCATTATCAAGCAATCCCCCACCTACATAAAGTAATTGTTGTGTGGAACAACATCGGTGAGAAGACACCAGAGGAAATGTGGAATTCCTTGGGGCCTCATCCTGTCCCTGTTGTCTTTAAAGTTCAAACCATAAATCGTATGAGAAACAGACTGCAGAATTTTCCTGATGTGGAAACAAAAGGTAATCAGCAGTTCTTATCACTATTACTAATGTTCATGCYTAAAATCTGAATGTTAAAAGAGAGATGATTGAGTTATAATGTGTAATAAATCAATGGATCTGAATGGTCACTTTAATAGAATGTGGGTAGTACAGAGGGAGCCAATACTACGATATCAGATGCACACCACCACCGGGCTGTCAGTGAAGAGTAAGAAAAGAAAGAGGAACGACATGCATTTTAAGGGCTTTTGCAACAGTTCTCCGTTTCCTTTGTGAGGCAGACATAGGTAGTTCAGCTTCTCTTTCTCCTGTAGTATAAACTGACATTCATAAAGCATATATTTGTCAAGTCACTGCACTAATCTGGACTTAAATCATGTAGTGAAGACTTGTTTCAAT